ACCAATAAACCTAATAGGCTAACCCTTGGCTTTCTCACTCTCTTAGTCTCTCTTGTCTCTTCGTCTTCCCCAATCCCCATCTTTCCTCCTGTGCCAGTCGTCCTCTGACCGATGGCCTCTCCGCCGCACCAACCATCAAGCACGTAGCAATGTTGGTCGCCGCCTCGCCGACAAGCACCAAGCCAGCTTAGCCAGACTCAGCTACAGCAACCAACTAAGACGTCGGTCACCGCCTCAACTCCGCCAGGACCGCTACCTCTCAGGCTCTGTCTCTCTCTCTCTCATCTCTCATCTCTGCAGCTCCGCCACCTCTCAGGCTTTCACTTCAGGCGACAATAACCACCAACTAGTCCGGCACCAACAAATCATCAGCCACCACTTCGCTCTCGCTCCTCTGCCATGTTTGTTCAGGTTTTTTTTTCCCTTTTTTTAATTTTGAGTGCATAAAAAAATAAAAAAACCAAACCGCRGTTAACCAATCAACCGGTTACATCATTTCGATTTCAATTCAGATTTTTAAAAAACCAATCAAGTTGGTTCATTTCAAAAAAAATCCACAATTCAGTTAACCGAACTGTAAACACACCTACTCCTAATGAATGATAAGGGAGATATTCCCAATTCATAACGACTCAATTGATAGGATCTCTACTCATTATAATTGTCCAAAGACCAAATTCTGCTGCCACGAGGGTTGGGGGGTTTAGGGGATGAGGGATGGGGATGGACTATACCCATTGTGTAGCCCGATGTCCTAGGTAGAGGGATGTGGAAACAGTTTGTAGATAGAATATCCAAATTCACAATTAAGGGAGTGCTCTATAACATTATTAATGTTTTTAGTTTTCAACTTTTAATTTGTCTTTTTAATTTGTTACATCAGCAAAAAAATAAAAAATATGTTCTTGAACCGCATTTTTGTTTTTCGACCTAAAAAAATTGATTTTTTGTTTTGAAAAGAAAATTAATTAATAAGTTTGTTCTGTATCAAACAAAAAACCATTCATGTTATTATAACCATCAAAAGGATGCATTTTAAAACAAAAATAAATTTTGTAGTAACTTATAAAACACGTTATTAAATAACTAGATGAAAACATGTTGAAACCAAAAATTCAAAAACATGTTTTCTTATTTCAGTTTTGCAAACAAAAAACACAGATATAACCAAAACCATGTTCTCTTGTGTATTTTAGAACCAAATTGTTTTCAGACTACCCAGATCGTTTTAATTTATTTTTGGAACTCAAAAAAAAAAAAAAAAAGAAACAATTCATATGGTTTTAAGAACCTTGCTTCTGCTTCTGTCACTGCTTGTAACTCTTATTTCTGTTGCATCTTCCAAGTAAATAACATAGAGATAAGATTCTTCGCGTCTTTAATAAATAGATAAATCGGAGAAATCATCTACTTGACATACACATCACTGTAAGATTAACTAGCATCAGAAGAAATTAAACAAAATCAAAGAAGCAATTACAGAATAAACATGGGTATGGGATATGGATGTCTTGAATGCAGCAGATGAAGTTTTGCCGCGGCCACCGGCCGGTATGGAACGCCCTCTTTTCTTCATGTGGATTCTGAGCTTTCGGGCATGGAGAGAATGATGGACTGTAATTCTCTCTCTGTCGACAGCTGCTTCATGGGGTTTCCCCTGTTGGAGAAAAAACCCAGAATCTCCATTTACTGGAATCAAGTCAGGTTCAAGTGAACTCAGAGAATCGAGAGGATGAGAGCAGAATAATGAGTGTGATGGATAGTAACAGTTTCATGTTAAGCATCTTTCTTGGGCTAAGAAGATTCTCTGGAGATGGGAATAAGAGTTTGTGGCTGTAGACTACACATGAACAAACCTTTGATGAATCAGTTTAGATCAATTATGTGTGCGAACGAGTGCTTCTAATTATGGGGATAATGGAAATGACCGACTATTTTGTGGGAATAGAATGGGGCTAAGGAAACGGAGACATGAGATAGATAGGCTTCTTATCATATTTATAGGGTTGAGTTAAAGTTATACTTAATTGCAAGTCCAAATCTGCCATTAACCAAAATAAAATGTTAGGGCCAATGTTTGGGAACCGCTGTTGACCCGTTTGGCCTAGGAATCATTCAGGCAACCAACCGTTTCTGTTTTATTCTAAACTTGATCCTTGTCAAAAACCGTTGAATTGATCAACGATTCATTAACCCGAATGAGATGATTTACAAGTTCATTGTTGATTTGTAAACAGTGAGGTTTATTTGAAATTGGCATAACCTAATTTGGTTTCGTCTGGGGTTCTCAGGAAGGTTTATTTTGTTGATTTTAATATGGTATTATATTAAGAATGATTCCCATGTTGTTAGGTTAAATGTGATTTTTTTTTCGTCCCTCTTTGGGTTCTTTTTGTGGATTTCAAAATATAACTTTCGACCTTGAACAGTTTTGGGTTAGTAGGTGAGTATATGGGATTAGAGGGGTTTATGTAATCGAAGTATCAAAGCCTCTCCAAAGTTTCCAAAATCCATGCCTGGTAGGTGAGTGTCACTAGTAAAATGACAAAAGTATTTCCCAATGAGAAGCAATCAAGGCATTTTTGGGTCAAGTGATAAAGTGAGATCTTCCGGTTGATACGTTTAACATCAATCAAGTCTTAACATGATTCGTAAATATAAACATGAACCAATCAAAAAGGTAAATATACATATGACATTTTTAATGTAATTGACTCGTAATAAGATTTAATGTTATCACAAATATTCATTTCTATAGGATATAATAAAATATTAACCATTGCCGTACCACTTTTGCTACAATATGGGTTTGGCCACGGACTGAAATCCAAAGGTTTGCAGCATTCAATAATATATTGTTGTGGCATCAATTTAATCAGATGAAATTAGGTCTAAAATGGGGCCACAACAATACATCAAAGGCCGTGATTCACGGCTAAAAAGATGTAGCCAAAGTGAAATCAGAGATGGGATGAAGTGGATGATGAACTGCACTTGATAGCTGTATTAGGGACTAAACTATTTTATGAATAATAATGCGCCACATCAGCCATTTATGCAAATTGAGATATTGTGTGGTTTTGGGCATATTCAAAGCAACCCCACCATAGCCATCAAGTGCCTGTAGGATGTAACATGTATGTGAAGTTTCACAGAACCAACCCAGAGAGAAGAAGCTAAATTGGTCATGGTCCAGGGGCCCAAATCTCTGATCTGATCACAAGAAAATGAAACTCTGGTAGTATCTCTCCATCGTTTGTTTGTTTGTTTAAGCGCGTGGATCTTATTGCCCATTTTTTAGTTTTCCTAGAGCGTGAAAACCTAATGACTAGCTAAGAAGCTTTTCTGGGAGAAAGATTTCTTGAGTTCTTTTCTCCTTGAGCCAAAGACCCTGAACCCAATTGTTATCAGGTTCAAAGGAAGCCAGTTGCGTCAAAATGTCAAACAGATGACTTGCGTAAGATGGACAGACAGATGCCACCCACCAGACGCTTGCCCACTTAGGCCACCACCCAAAAGAATGAGATTGGTATAAATAGAAGATGGTTTAAGATATGTAGTAAAAGACCAACAAGAATTCATTTAAGGTCCAAAGTTCCGGCTATGGTTCTTGACTGAAAGTTGTTTCTTTGCACAAAGAAAAGCAGATCCTGATGAACCAAACTCAAAACGAGACGACCAAATTGGCAATTGAAGACACAACACCAGTGACTCTTTTGTCTGTGAGACTGTAACATAGACGCTTGTAAATCTAATCAAGTATATAATAAAATATTAATTTTTAATACATTTTTATTTATAATTTTTTATTAATTTATTCGTAATTGAATCAAGTCGATCGGTACTTACAATATGTCACGCCATTGTGGTTCATTGGTAAAATCTTGAGCTGACAAGCATTCTTTAGAATGCGATTTCAGTCTGAGACTGAGAGAGAGGACATTTGTTCATGGCACCCTCTTGATTAAAAGCATGCATACTGACACCGTCCATTGCCTCAATTATAAACATGACTTGAATTCAAAGGCAACCAATCGACTAACATAGGATGCCAGATTGAGTAAAAGTTATTAAAAGACCTGTATCAACTATCAACTATCAAGCGAACTCATACAACCCAGCTTTTCTAATCAAGTATTCTTGAGGTCTTGATGTCGTCAAGCTATGGCTTAACCACCTTCTCTGTCTCCGGCCAGAAATCTGTACATTCTACCATTGACCTCTATAGTACTACAACCAGCAACTTTACTAATCCCTGCTTCTTTCATCATTCTTCTCCAATCATCTGCTTCTTTCCATCTACCATGCAATGCAAACATGTTAGAGAGCATCATGTACTCTCCATCGCTCAGACAACCGACCTTATCGATGATATGCTTTGATACAGTTTCTGCCAATTCAGCATCCCCATGAACCAGACAAGAGCTAAGCAAAGCGCCTAACACAGTTGCACCAGGTTCAAACGGCATGACTTTCATGAAACTGTATGCAAGGTCAAGGAGACCAGCTCGACCCAGAAGATCAACCATACACGCATAATGTTCCATCTTGGGCAGGACCCCAAAGTCCTCCATGGACTCAAATATCTGGTAGCCCTCCTCAACCAAACCTGCATGACTACACGCACTTAGAAGGGCAACAAAGGTGATATCATCAGGCCTTATGTGTCTGTCTTTCATATCATCGAATAGTCTTAGAGCAGCTTGGCCATAACCATGAAGTGCAAGTCCAGAGATCATGGCATTCCAACAGTATATGTCCCACTCCCTCATTTCAGACTTGTAGAACACTTCTAAGGCTCTCTCTATGCTCCCACACTTGGAATACATGTCTATCAGAGCGGTCACCACATGGGCATCTGGTTCTAGAATCATGGCATGGGCGTGTATCTTTAAACCTGTCTCCAGTGATCCCAAATGAGCACAAGCAGATAGCACAATCTTCAAAGTTAGATGATTAGGAACAATATTACCAGTCTTCATACTGTTAAACATATCAACAGCATCAGCATAACGTTGAGACTGCAGGTAACCGCTTATCATTGTGTTCCATGAAACAACACTTCTTTCCTGCATTTCATCAAACAACTTGCGAGCCAACTCCATGTCACCGGCCTTGGTACATGCTAAGATCACCGAGTTCCAAGAGACAACATCTTTAGTAGGAACTGCATCAAACATACGCCTTGTACATTCGACATTTCCCATACTCGCATAGCCAGAGATCATGATATTGAAGGACAACTGGTCTCTGCAGGGCATCAAATGATATAATTCCTCAGCATTGTCCATCTGACCACAGGAAGCATAACGCCGAAGCATGGAATTCCAAGCAACGATGTCCTTCCACTGTATATTATCAAACACTGTCCTCGAACTCTCCACATAGCCAAGGTTAGAATACATATTGAGAAGAGCAGTTTGGACAAAAACATGTATCGAGAAGCCTGTCTTTACTGTTTGGCCATGGAGCGCCAAGCCCAATTGGGGAGAACCAAGGTTTCCAGCTGCTTTAAGCAGCAGAGGGAACGTAAAATTGTCGCCCGACAAAACAGTCTCCTGCATCTTTGTATACAATAGGATTGCCCCCGCCAGTTTTCCCTCTAGAACCTGGTGCTTAATGGCTCGGTTCCATTCGCGTAAGCTGGTTGTGGGCGGCGAGCTATGTGGCGGTGACAGAATGCAACTCATTGGACAAAGCACCAGAGCCATTCCGTCACAGTTAACACAAATTGATTGACCGAGTTCAATTACTGGACAACCAAAATGACTCGCGAGAGAAGTCCAAGATCATAAAGCAAGGCTAGAGCGAGCAGATTAGCTTAAAAAGAGCACCGCACATCCACTGCTCATTTATCCCCCCCCCCTCCCTCTATTTAAGCCATAGAAAAGATGAAAAATATAAACATAAAAATTGGCACAACAAATAAGAAAACCGGAAAAGTCCGGAATCTCAAAATCTGATTGAACAACAATGATGACAAAACAAATGGACCATATTGTTCACCATGAGCATCTCGGGGCATAATTAGCCGCACCCGAGAGCAAAATATCCATGGCGGCATTTTTTGTCTAAATACTGATTCAATGAAACACACTAATGACCTCGGAAAATATACAACTCAATAAAATTATCTGTTTACTTGTCACAAATTGTAGTAACACAAGTTGCTCGCCTCAAAGAGGGGGGTAAAAGGTGGAAAGACAAAAACCAAGAGAAAAAGGAACATGAATGTTTGTTTTCCCTGGTTACACGAGTTGAAAAGGAAAAAAAACTACCTCCTAAGAATGGGTTTGGCTCGATCAGGAAAGCAGGTTCTGGCAAGCTTGGATCTCAGCTCCTTGCACGCTCAACACCGTCTTCCCTGAAGGGTCAGAACTGACGCTATTCATAGCAGCATTGAAGATGAGTTCCCGGAAATAGGAATCCTCCACTTTCTTCAGAGCCTCCATGATTACCTTGAAATCTATAGCCCCAGACAAAACTAATTTAGCCATAACATCTCCAAAGTAGCTTGGTGCTTTGGGTAGATCAATTGCAATGTCATCCAACATTGATGCATAGAGAAGACAGCCAGTCCCAATGTCTCTAGCCGAAAGAAGCTTCTTGGCAAATAAGAACTCAAGGAGCTTCACAGCTAAATCTGGGCAAGGGGTCTTCCTGTCCAGGGACCGGGAGATTGACTCCTTGACTACCTCTGGATAGTACCCAGGGTCTTTCAGCTCCTCCACACACCTCAGTGCTTCTTCTAAGTCACGTATCTCAAAGTACTCATCCAAAAGAGAGATTGTTTTCTTCTGAAGACCAGCTGGGTTTGATCTTGTAACAGAAGCAGCTGGCCGTTCAGGAACAGGAAGGGTAGGTGATGCTGAAACTACAGGCCTTGCAGCTACAGAGTCCGTGGCTGAAACTAGATTGGATGGACGTGCAAAAGAAGCACTACCTTGCAATAATGCACTATTCTTACCAGTCATCAGACCACCACTACCCTGCGGCAACAGCTTTGAGTTGAGGGACATTGATTTGCTGACGAGGGGAGATTGGATGCGTCCAGCAGGCTGCATAGTTAAACCATCTCCCTTTGGCATTGATCTGTTACGAGGAACCTCCCAATTATCATTCTCAAGCCCTGGCATACCTGGCATCTTCCTGGTTCCAGGCATTCCAGGCATCATTCCCCCAGAGCCAGGTCGGAAGCCTCCAGGGCCAACACCTCCTAAAGCACCAGCACTACGTCCATTTCTCATGGTTGCAGTGGCACCAGGGCGCAGCCCAAGATTCTTCTCTGCCTCTGAATGGATCTCATTAATGGTCTTGGCCTTCACCTGAAAATGAGAAACGGGTTAGTTTGAAAATTGATGGCAACCAAGTGGTTCAAATAAAACATATTTGGGTTTATGAACTTGAGAATATACACACCTCTTCACGCCTTGGAACCCAGTTATTGGCCCGCAGGTCCAGAACATCACGAATCATGAACCTCAGCCGTGGTGCCAACTGTGGATTTGTTGTTAGCTCCTTCAATTTGTTGAAGTACATATCAATGATATGGCGGGATCTCTGGTTTTCACCCAGCTGCTTACCAATGGTATTGAAGAAATGACAAATAGCCTCAACATTCTCCTCGTCTGGGCAAGTCTTACCATCATGTCCCAAAAGCTCCTGTTTCAAAAGCAACAGAGTTGGTCAACTCCAAGGCAGCCAAAACATCTTACAATATCCAAGAATGGTAAAATGATGTTCAAAAAAGAACCTGAACAATGTGATGAACAATTTTTTCAGGCACCATCTTCTGCTTCAGAAGTTCACCAATAAGTCGAATATTTCCAAGGGTACGCAACTTCACCATTCTTTCTTTATCCCTGCGTTCCAACTCTTGCTCAGGGGCAGTCATCTGCCTAATTTCTGCCCTAAGATTGTCAGCACCTTCAAACGCCTCTTGGCAATTATTTAAGAGAATACGCTTGAACGTGATTTCTTTCCCACCAGGTTCTTCAGAAGGGAATGGTGGAAGCTTTTCATTCAGATCAGAACAAAGAAGAGCATACATAGGACAGAAGGTGGGTTCCAGCACAGCCTTATCAAATATCAAAGAAATGACGTCCTGCAAAGCAAGCAAACGCCTAATTTCCATTAGAAGCTACAAAGCAAAGCCCTCTATAGAAGGTATGCAATATCAGTAAGAAATGGGAACCTTTAAGATATCTGGAGTTGTGATTCCAGAGTCAATAAGCTGGCCCTTGAGAACATCAAACTTCTCTGGTGTCAGTTTATTCAGTATGCTGCAAACAAAAATAAAGAATAATTTCATTGTCATAAAAAGAAAGATAAGTTGACAGGGATAAGTAGCAACAATAGTGGATTAATAGTAATTCAAACAAATAAATTACATTATTAATTAAGAACCCAAGTTTGATTTGGTGGGCCACCATTAATTATACAAATTACAGCACAGCAGAAGAAATGTGCAGATAAGTAGAAAAACTGACAACATTACCCTTTCACAGTCTTCAAGACACGTTCTTTCTCAGTGAGGTTCCCTCTACGAGCTGACCATGGCACCTCAGCCTTGATAAGAGCAGGAGCAGGTCCCGCCTGATTCAAGTAAGAACAGACAAAGCTCAAAACTAATGCCATACAGCATTCAAGACAACCAAAAGCACATCATCACACTAGAAAATAAATCAGAATAAGACACATAATCTATATAAACAGCATAAAGGAAAGCAACTAAATTAATTGAAACAGTAAACAATGCCAAATGTTTAAATAAACATCACACTAGGGAAACCAGAATATAAATTTAGCTTAAAATATTAATTGGAAATAGAAATCATATTTTATCAAACATAGAACTATGAAACTACTATATGCAACCCATATAACCTCCAAAAGATTACCAAAGCAATGGAGACGTTAAAGCAAAGCATTGAAGATAAAATCAAGAAATTATAAATAAAGAGAAAGTAACACCCTAGCAAATAAACCAACAAAATTAAATTAAGCAGGGGTAGAAAACAACCAAAAATCTATGGAGGAAGAAATAGGAAAAATCTGGAAATTTCATTTACAGGACAGAGAAATTTAGCTAGGCTCACAACCTCACCCTCCTCCATGGAAAATTTAAACAGCTGTGCAGTTGTACCAAGCCACTTCATCTCCTACTAAAAATGAATATCTTCACCATCCAAGCATAAGAGTATTTTTTACCAGTGATCAAATAACAATGATAAAAATTATCAAACAACAATGATCAAAACTTATTCATGATTGGAAGTATGAGAAACCCTGCATCCAGAGAACAAAACACAGTATGACAGACAAATGATGAGATAAAAAAAAAGTACAGCAAGAGAATAAAGAAAATAGGGTACACAAACATGCATAGCCTCCTAGATATACTACCTGCCCCTCCGCCAGCACACATAAAAATCAATAATTCTCCCTACCCTCCCCTTGCAAGAGAATCAGTTAAAGCATCGACTGCTCAAAGAAACCATCTGAACAGGCTGTGCTCATCCAATATGCCAGAGATTTAGCCTCTTTAATGAGAAATCTGAGAAGCTATGCACAGTTGCACTTGGTGGATATCTGTGCACCCACATGGTAAACTCCTAAAATCAAGCCAACCTGAATAGGCCAGCTTTTATAGTGTAAGAAATTCAAACCCAACAGAGTTCTGTACCCCAACCATCAAACAAAATCACATCACTAACTGGAGCCTCTGAATCTTGGATCCCCAGTCTTCTTTGGTTAGCACAACCAGCCACTACTCTGCCCCCTATAATTCATCCCTTGCAGACATAGAATTAGCCAATCTTACTGTCACCAAATTGACAATGATGTAGACTTCTATGTTTATTTATTGTGGATGATTCTTGCCGTTGCCTTACTTATTTGCTTGAATATTTGTTATCTAGGCTTAGTTTGGGAAGAGTATGAATACAATGTTTATAAATACTGTATACAAGGTTTTTACTGAATATATTTATATTTGCACTCTTCCCAAATTGAGCCCTAAAAGGGCATGATTTTATTATACATATCTCGCTATTTTGTCGTGATGGGATATTCATCAAAAACATTATGTATGTGTGTCTTTCTATGCAAAGTTTATTAACTATTGGCTTTCAATCAGTATTTTATAATAAAATAAAAAATATGACACATGTCAACACGAAACATTTCCAAGTAATTATCTAACTATTTTATCAAATATAACTGGCAGCTAAGTGCCACCCATGCAGTTTGCCTATCTCACCTTGTTGCCTTGACAGCAGAACATTTATTTTGGCATAATCTTTTCTCACACCATACAGCTTCAAAGCATCAGATTGTAGTGTCCAGGGAATAGATCTAGTTGGTCTAAGCAGTCAAAACAGTTGAAGAAAGTCTCACTAGTAAGTTTCTAGTCTTCTTCAGAAAATTAACTTTGAAGTTGTATTAGTTTTCTGTAAGCCTGAGTTTGGAATCAGAAGTCTTTACTTTGGTAGCATTAAAATGGTGAGGATGTAATGCACCTGAATGTTTGCAATTGAAATAGTTCAAGAATATTTAACCCATTGTTGCCAGGATACATTAGAAAGTATAAAGCAATGTTTTAAAACAGAGGTGTGACACAAGGCATTCCATTACCTAGAGGCATGAGGCATAGTTCAAAACATAAGAGGCGTAAGCCTCCCAAACACAAGGAGGTGTAAGCCTCCTTAAGAAGAGGGGGGATCAAGAGGAAGAGGAAGGGGAGGAGGAAGAAGAAGACGGGGAGATCTCATTTTTGTTCTTTATTTAAAAAAAAAAAAAAACTTTTATATTAAGAANGGGGGGGTCTTGTCAAAGTAACATCTGCTACATATGAATAAAGATGCACTTCCCAATTTTTAGCCTGAACTTACCATAATTAACATCTGCTACATATGAATTTCATCTTTTCAAACAGAAAGTCCCCAAGTAAGATAGAATGATTCTTTTGTTTTTGCAAATAATATACATTCTTAACCTCTCAATATAAACTGAAACCATCAGTTTCCTATTTCCAACTTCCATGTACATATTTTCATGCAAAACCAACTTTAGCACAACCCTGAAATTCAATTTACAAAGAAAATGGACAAAATCACATAATTGCATAATAAGCAATTAATTCCTGGACATTAATCAATTTTTTCAATTTATTTTGTCTTCTGTATAGGGGAAGTTCTAAATTTAGGGATTAATGGCTCAATTTTCCAGTCCAAGATTAAGAAACAGAACATAAAAAGGATTTTTTTTTTTTGTATTTTTTTCCTTCTGCAAGACCATCATCCTCATCCTATAGGCCATCCAGAACCAAAATGAAGGAAGACAGGTATCATGCACATGTTAGGAAGAACTCCTTCCAAAAACCAGCCAAGGAACAACATCATGAAACATTTACCCTCAAATCAGTTCAGTGTGAAAAAGTCAACAAAATTTCTAATTCTCCAGTACAAATTTCTTTGCTGATAGGTCACCAGCTAGTTCACTCCCAAAAGAAAAACAATTAGCATGTATGTACAAATGAAGCATAAACCACATGGCTCAACAGAAACTATCCAAAGAAAACAATCCTAATATAACTATCTGCAATCATACATATGTAGCCGATCATTGATAACCACCAAAACCAATTTTTTGATAGATATAACAATCAATACCAATTTGCCCACTAAAATCAATTCCACTGCAAACAAAAACTCTAGCTAATTGTGAATAAAATATCTCTAAACAACAAAAATATCATTTAATGAATAATTTTATACACAAATGGATAAGAAACTAGAGACAAGTTCACACATTAATGAACAAAAGCACTCCGTTAATAGAAGAAACCAAGTTTCACATAAATCAGTCATTAGGTGGTGAAAAACTCAATACCCCCCCTTGGTTGGTTGAAAGCTGAGTCCTTGCAAACTGAGTGTTTAGTTGATCTTGGCGATTATATTGATCCTGCTGTCTTGACTCTACCCGACTTACATGCTCTTTATTGTCTCGAAGAGTTTCCCAGGATCTCTCTTCTCCAGGGCTAGGTAATTGTGCTGATCGGCCACGCCAGTCACGGTTGTCTGGCTCAGAATAACGACTTTGGGACTGAGGTTGCACCTAGAGAAAACAGAAAAAAGAAAACAACACTCAAATTTTTGACTGAAAACAACTGAAGTAAATCCCTACTCAAAATAATTAAAAGCCTTTCAAACTGCCACAGTCATTTAGCTGCTGCAAAATGATCAACAAAAATAAACAAACTCACATTAGTATCTCCACGAATCCAGTTCTGGTCTTCACCCAAAAACTCAGCATCAATATCTTGTTTGATTTTTAAGATATCTTCAGGGACATCAACAACCTGAAAGTCAGAATAACAAAAGAAGAATAAGATGATAATACTACAAAGATCTTGGATCAATATAAGAATTTCATAGTCAATCATTGTATTTCAAGAAGAAAAATTCAACTGTAATGCAAATATATTTGAGAAAACTGACACGTAGATGACATGAAAATGAGGGGAAGCAAGCATGGAATTATATCAAGTAAAATGGTCTATTTCCCACTGCCACAAGAATCCCACCCTATTTGTTTGTATCCATATCCTGCATAATTTTGTGGTCTGTGAACTGTAGACATGGGCATGAACTCTCTACATCAAGATAGTCTCTTTCAACTATGCTTTTGTACGTCTTCTTAAATCTAGTTGAAAAATCTATGAAAAAACTACAAACATGAGCAGTGACCTATAAAGATTTAGACTTGATGACAACCACTCAATCTGTTTAGTGAACCAACCCCATGGCTCACTATTACTTTCTACGAGGAATTACATATAGCAAACTGACCATTTATTCTAGGAAATAAATAACACTGCTTTTCTAATCCTTTTGCCATTGCATGGTGCACCTGAGTAGCTCAACCTGTCACATTCTATAAGAAAGACAAAAAAACCAAAAAACCTAGATTCTTTTAAGAGAAAGAAGAATGAAACTAGAGCTCCTTTTATCATCTCCAAAATACCCATGATAGACAAGTGCAAATGCTGGACACCACAATGAGGTACAGTCTGTGCTAAAAAGGAAAGTGCTCCCCTACCTCTTATTTCTCCTTCATTGTAGAAGAGGGAAAATACTTCCACATGCAATGAGGTCCAGTCTATGATAAAAGGAAAGTGCTTCACACCAGTCACCACCTCCTCTTCATCCTTCAATTTTTGTTTTCATTGATGCTATTATAGCATTTCTTTTACTACAGAAGAGAGTGCAGATCCTACTCAACATGTCCAAATGCTGGCACATGTACACAGCATGCCCAGTCAACAGGAGACCCTTATATAGAAGGCACGTTCTACAAGTCATAGTTTTACTTAAAATCCCACAAATTATTTTCCATGCTTTAACAATTATATCAAGGAAAGGGTTTAAAATATCGATAAAATCATGCTTTTCAAACAGTGGTTTTTTATTTCAGTCTGATAATTGACGATTAATCTACATAGGATAACTACTAACATCTAAAACTATCAAAACCTCCAACCTCTCAATATTTATCATATCCAAGGCCTTCAATAACAACATGATATATGTTTCAATACTTTGAACCTTGATTGGGGATGGAAGAAGAAAGTGGTATTATCCCCATTGGGTAATCAGTGCTGGTAAACTTAGCAGCATACATGGACTCAAGAAGAGTACTAGACCAATTACCTCTCTAAGCTGTAACAACTGATCTCGAGTGTAACGAACACGCTCACGACCCTCAAACCGTGAGTCACCAATCTATAACAAAAGAAAAATATAAAAGAGTCAAATAACCTCCAATTTTTACTTATAAGTTTAAGCATTCCAAATAATTATATGTCGAAGGCAAACATAAAAGATAAGGAAAAACTCAAGGAAAACCAAAAAATACAAATATAAGTATGCATAGCAATTGTGCTCTTATTCTAATGTAAGAGAATAATGTTACCTATCAAAAAATGTAAGAGAATAATTTTTAAGGACAATCTAAAGAAAATATTGATACCATCTCCAAGTAAACTGAATTGGTACAAAAAGGAATATAATGCATAGCACTTGCATGTTGATTTGACTTCTTTTCACAGTCTCCAAAGATTTCCTGCCACTTTTGGGTTTTGGGAAAGCAATTCTAAATACTACAAAATGACTGGATCATCTACCAACAGTTCAATCAGCAGGTAATTCCCCATCCACGTCGGCATTATGTATTTACTTACCAACGTTTCCGTCTCCTTTCCAGTCTACTGTTCTAGTATCGTGGTGTATGTAGGTTCTTTATGGGCACCTCAATACTCACCAGATGCCCACCTAAAGCCTACAAATTGCTGTTTGTCCATATTTACAGCAAGAACGCATCCTTAAGCGCCCCACCAAGAATTAGGACATAAATCCAGATAACCAGACTTGTAATCATTGTCCAAATTGCTGCTCTACAAATTGGAAAACATAAAAACACAAAAAAAAACTTAACTCTTTCCAGCATAGAAGCTTCATCTTTACTTTCATAGATTTAAGAAAGAAAAAGACATAAAGAAATTTTCGATTATTTAAGAGTCAAATCTCAGTAAAGAGCATACGCATCAGCAATCTTCCCACCGTCTAAAAAGAATAAAGTCGTATTGCAGTAACATCTGCATCATGCTGAAATAATATCGACAATAGATAAACCACTCTAAACAAATCGTCCGACCTCATAACAGAAAACGACTCAAAACAAACAAAATCGAAAAAAAAAAAAGATTGAATCTTTAAATCGAAAAAGGGCCGAATCTTTAGAATCCTTAGCTCAATACCGTACTTAATCAACATAAAGATTAAACAAAATCCACGTAGAAGGCAAAGCAGAGCAAGCAAACCCTAGATCCGTACGCCAAGCTAGGGTTTTTTAAAATATTTCGAAAGCGGACCTTGATGGACGAAGTGGGATGGGCACCGCCATGGGGACGTAGGAACTGAAGATCGGAGGAAGACGAAGTCGAGATCACCGAAGAACCACCAACACCGCCAGCGCCGGAATTGCCAAAAGCAGAGTCGAAGCGAGGGGCAAGGATTCTGCTGCCTCGGTTGCCTCCACCACCAGGCCTCAAGCTAATGACCGTCTGATCTGCCTGCTGCATAACTCACTCTTTCACTCTGGGTCTGGTGAATCGCCGCCGTCCGACCAAAGGGAACGACGCTATGGAGACTATATGTATATTTATACAAATAACCGACGACGAGAGACGCCGACGCCGAATCGCAGTGGCGAGATGGAAAATTTGTTTGGAGAAAGATAGGAGAGAGAGAAAGAATGATGGGAGTTTTAATGAGAGAGAGGTGTTGCGTCTCTCTCTCTATCTCTCTACCTCTCTTCGCTGYAGCAAAGAGAAAAGAAAGGGGAGGGGGGGGGAAGAGAGGTGAGGCTGAGAGAGAAAAACCCTTTTTATGTCTTTGATGGATCGACTGCTCCTTCGGTGACTGTATAATTTCTGTTTTTATACTTTCTTTTTTCGATTATTATCGTCAGCTTCCCAAATTTGTAATTACGTCCCTGTCCTAATAATATCCTGCCATCTCTCAAATTCCTAATTCCTACGTCTCTGTCCCGGTTTTTCTCACCGATCCTGCCGCTCGTGGTTGGCGGTGCAACCCGGCCGGGTTAGGTGGATCAAGCTGCTCACCACTTACTCGACCTGGTTGATTCACCTCAAGTTAAGCTTTAGTGAAGTTAAGTACAGCTAATCAAATTGAGTTTGAGTTTCGCAATACCTGATTCAAGTGGCTCAGAATTCTAATCGAGTTTATAATAAATATTAATTTTTCAATAATATTTTTATTTATAATTAATAAATAAATAAATTTACAATCAAAATACGTAATTTATTTTTATTTATAATTGGCTCAAATCGAAATAAGGACGAGTAGCTCGATAGTAGTGATCGACTCAAATCGATTTTGAAAAAAAAACGACCAAGCTCGAGTAAAGTTTTGAGTTCCAAGTTTTTAAGTTTTTGAGTCAAGTCAAGCTCGAATGACGTCGGGTCGGCCCGTGGGTACAGTACGGTATGAAGGTCTACGGGCCGTATCAGGCCCGGTATGGAGGTCCGTGCCATTCTGGGCCGAGGGTTCGAGGCCCACGGATCGATACGGCATGGCACGACAGTCGCCCGTGGCCTGTATGTCGGCACGGCCCAGCCCATAGCTCGGCCCAGCATGGCCCATATATATATAGTTATATAATATTATATAAATTATAATTATATAATAATATATTAATAAAATAAATATTTTTTTAATTTTATTATACTAATTTATTCAATTATTGCATATATAAGCAATTTTATACATAAAATTCATATAAAATTAAAATTTTAAGTTTTTTGTCAATTTTTTTAAAATAAATAACTTTGGCCCGATGCATGGTCTGACCTAGCCCAAGGCTCGGCCCACGGGCCAGCCTGTCTCGCAGCACAGGCCCGCACGGGCCCAAACCATGGGTCATGTCGAGCCAACCCCCAAATTTTTCATCGAGAAGGGTGGCACATTCCGTAACCACCCGCAAACCAACATGGCATGGCTCGCACAAAGTGCAGGCCACCCACGAACTGGGCCATACAAGCCCGGTACAGCCCACTTTACACCTCTAAACACAACACTCAACTCGACTAAACTCGATAACACCTTACCCCCAACCTCAAATTTTGATGTTAGGCTTGGGTTGGTTCTTATTTCTTAGACTAAAATGTCGATAGATAAATAGATACATAAATACATTTTCTTTTGAAGCCATATATAAATATATATGCATACTTAGATTAATTAATAGATATATAGTTGCACATATACACGAATACTATACTACTTGCATACAAGTTGTTATGTACATAAATAAATGTATAGTATTTATACAAAAAAAATATGCAGCTAAGTTATGCTTGGATTGGGTTCATACTTTTCAATCTTAACCCTAACTAAACTTTAACATGACCCAACCCAAGTTAAAGCCCTATTCATACAGATGATCATTGCGATGCTAAAACTAGGTTTCTATGAGGTAGTAAGAGCATTTTGAGCTACTTGGGGCTAGAGGTGTAAAACGGGAAGTGCTGGGCCAGTACAACACGGCCCATACAAAGTGTGGGTCGGGCCGTTTTTCTCTCCCTTAGAATATTTTGGGGGGGCGACCTGGCATGGCCCATAGCTCAAGCCCGTGCAAGCCTATGTCAAGCTGAGCCTTGGGTCAGGCCGGGTTGTGGATCAGGCCAAAGTTATTTATTTAAAAATTAAAAAAATTTAAATTTTGACTTTATATCAACTTTGATGTATACAATTGCTTATATATACAATAATTAAATAAAATAGTATAATATAATTAAAGAAAATTATTTATTTTATTAATATATTATATATTATAGATAATTATATAATTATAATTTATATAATATTATATATATAATTTATATATAGGCCGTATTGGATAACACGACATGACAATGCGGGCCATACCAATCTGACCCACTGACCTAAAACCCCAAACCCAACATGACCCATCGACCAATACAAATTGTGTAGGCCATGCTGGGCCACGAACGACATAGCATGGTTTACAGCTCTACTTGGGACCAATCCTATCTGCACCTCCGATTTAATAATAAATTTGGGTTTGGTTCAGGTTGAGTATTTAGGTACGTGAATATAAGTTAATGATTTTTTTTATAAAAGAGAGAATAAAATTAAAACCTATGTTGCCAATGACCCTGCAAATGAGATTGCCCAGTGCCCCTTCAATATGGAGGTGTAACATCAAAATTACACAAGTACAAGTTCTTTGTGACATATATGCACCCAGCTTTGTCCTCAGTGATGTATATATCAAATTTAATTATATCATGTTGATATTTGCCTTAGTTTCACCTCTAGATATAAATGGTAAATCCTTTAGTAATGATGCTAAACCTTAATCAAAAGGTCCCTCTTATTGGCTAGTATTGTAGAGACTGGTAGAGAAATAGTGTTGATCATCCTTTCTCGCCTGAAATTTTACATGAGATCACTGCTACTCTGACTCATAGAAAGCCTATAGGTATACTATAAGGAGATCGACTTCAGTCAGTGCAAGATCCATTTGAATACTGTTCGAACAGCTTTTACAGCTTTGCATCGGAAATATTTCCACACTTCTATGCTTTATTTTATGGGGAGATATTCCCAATGCAAGGCTATGATGGCTGTTCGAACGGGCTTTGCATTGACTGAGTCCGGTTTCTACCATAAGGTATCACACATTGCAAGAGGATTACAAAATGGAGATAGAACAGGATGCACGTGAGGTCCATTTACCATGAAAATAATGTAGTTACATGGATTTGATATCATGCCTCCACATGTGGAGGGATGCCAAATGACCATCCCAGTTATTGGGTCATTGGAAAATTTAACTGTTAAAACAACCTATTGGATTGCTATAAATCTGCTACATGAAAATCATACGACTTCAAAAGACATAAGGAAAATCTATTAAGACAGCCTATTGGATTGCTGAAAATCATATTCACAACCCCGCTTAAATGAAAATATTCCGAGTCTTTCTTCCCTAATTGGGGGTTTTAGATTAACCCTGAGTGCCAACGTTGTGAAGGAGATATAGAAGTCTTATATCTATGTCTATACATCACTATTATAAAAAATTAAAAGTATGAACCCGTAGTGTAGAACTTTTATCGACCAGAATGCCCATATTTTATTTTTGAATTTGGTCCATTATTTCTATTTGCCAAAGAAAAAATTGTAATTTGAACTAACTCTATACATGGGTTGGGCCATGCCTTGCTTATTTATTATCAAAATACATTTGAGCCCGAGCTCATGCCTGGCCCTACTATAAAGCTCAAAGTTTGGGCGTGAGCCTAAAGGCCAACCAATAGCTATAAAGTGGGAAAAAGATTTCTGTTGTTTTTTTATTCAATAAATATTAAATGACCTTAAAACCCCAAAATGTTGAAAGATCTCACTATGGCTTGAGAAAAAAGAAGACGAACAATGAAGAAAATACATATAAAAAAACATGTTTTAGTGTATAAAATATTACTTGGCTTGGGCTCGAGTTCTGGCTGGGCTTTTTTGAGAAAGCCTGAGCTCAGCCCGAAAAAAAAAAGTTGGGCCTAGTGTTTTAGGCCAAGCCCGAACCCTCAAGTCTGAAATAATGTCCAAGCTCAACAAAGAACATGTTGAGTTGGGGTGGCCCCTTTAGGCTATTCAGCCCATGAACAAGTCTAATTTGAAGTACTATTTTTCATCTCATTTAATTTCACCTCATTAAGTCTTGTATTTAAGGTATTATCTCCTATTATCTCTCATTAAATCATTTTTTTGACTAAAATGCCCTTATTTTTAAATTTAGTATCCCTTTTTTGGGAAAGCAAAAAATGTAATTTTGAATACTACTTTTTCACTTCATTCAATTCCCTCTCATTAAGGTAGGGAAACCTTTACAAACCTTGTATGGGTTTCCCTACATTTACTTTCATTTCCCTACTTTTTCCTTCAAACCAAACACAGCCTAAGTGTTATATTTAAGGTATTAACTTCCATTTCTCTCATCAAATCTATATTTAAGCTATTTTTTCGCCAATAAATTCCTTAAATTAAATTTATATCCAATACATTTAATAATATAAAACCCAAAATTTTTAAAAATGATGAGAAAAGGAAAAAATATTCTTTTATCTTGGTGACGAATAAGCAATTCAACTATCCAGGTGAAATGGGTCAACCCATGATGTCATAGTTAAACAATAAACATTTTAAAATAGAGATTATAAATAAAAATAATTAAAAATAAATAAAAAATTAAAGAAAAAATTGGGCACGTCTCTAATATTTGTTATTAATCATATTAAAGGAAAATATGTGAAACAAATAATAATTCTTTTATTGGTTTTCAAAATGAAATATAAAATTTAAAGTTAACCCAAAAATGAAATTGTTTTTAGTAATTAAGGAAAATTCTGCTCAGAAATCTAAGGTCTCATTGGTACCTATAATAGTAGTATAGATATGGATGTGTTCAATTTTTATACATTTTTATATTTATTTGTGTACAAAAATAATTCTGATTTCTCACACTTGTTTTTTGTTTAATATGATGAATACACAATATTAGACATGTGCACAAATGTTTTCTATAAAATTTATGCATTTTTTGATATTTTTGTGCTTTTATACATTTTTAATTATAACACAAAGGTTGACACATTTGACCCAAAAGTTGAACTATTGACTCACCACCAAATGAGAAAACAATTTAATTTTTTCTTGATTTTAAATTTTTTATCTCATTTTTATTGTCAATAAAAATAATTATTGTTTACCACACATATTTTCTTTAACTTGGTTAATATAAAATATTAAAAATGTACCTAATTTTTCTACATCTTTTGTAGTTTGATATATTTATTT